AGCATGTAACAAGCACCTAGCTTATGATCACTGAGGCACAAGTGAAATACTTAAACCTTGGAAATAGCAGAGAAGGGTTGGAAGTCTGATTCCTAGTTTCAAAACACTAAATTATGAGAAAGGCTGTCTAAAGGTGGTGGCTACAAAGGGATCCAGGGTATTAAGTAGAAGACAAAGGGTCAAGCCAATACAGCATGATAACTGGACAAGGGATATTGAATAAATTGACCAAAGGGAAGCTCAGGGCTAATGCCAGGTGGTATTTCATAAAATACACAAAAACTGGAATTAAGAGTGGGTTAATGGAGACTAAAACTTTGGAATCATTCAAGAATTATTTAGATATTGTATGATACACTGGGGAGTTGGGGGACAGGATTAGAATTTATAATGTACTTTTCTACAAGATTTTTCAAATTTCAGCTCTCCAGCAGTACTTTATTATCTTCATTTACTATATTACACAATACAGGTGTGGATCTGTAAAAATATAGGTTTAGATCTAAAAGGTTTGCCAACAGCTAAATTTTGAAAGCATTATTGAATCTCTTGTGGCATTATGCATGAACAAAACATAAACAAAATGAATTTCCTTTTTTGTCATACTTTTACTTTAGAAATTCATGCAGCATGGTGAATGGTTGGACATGGTGCACCCCTGTTACTGGGCTTTGGATTGCGTCTTCAATGAGCAGGTGCACTAGTGACTGCAGCAGGAAGCTCACTGGTGATGCACAAACATCACATAACTGAAGGTGTCACTGTGGCCCTTGGGTACTTTGTAAAAGGGTGCAAATGGGAAACAGGAACAACTGAATTGGGAAGTTTTGGTGCCCAAGGAGGTAATTGAGGGTAGGGTGGTGAGAGCAGGAATACTAGTTGAATACAGGTATCCTGCACCTTCTGGCTGCATATTTAGGGAACTACGTTTCAGAAACATAACTTACTGAGTGTGGCACTTTAAAGACTGCTTGCTAAACCACATATGTACCTGGCTTACTTAAATGCAGTTAACATACAGAAACTAGAAGCAGAGGTAGGCCATTTGAGCCTACTCAGCTTATCTAAATCACCTTATACCCTCCTTGCATCCTCCTCACAATTCAAAATCCTCCCTCAGTTTTGTGCTGTCAGCAAACTTGAAAATGTTGCATTTGATTCTCTCATCTAGATAACTCATTCATATTTTGAATAGTTGGGGCCCGAGCACTGAACTTTGCAGTAACCCTCTAGAAAAAAGACCCATTTATTCTCACTCGCTGTTTCTTGTCTGTTAATCAATTCTCAATCTATGTTAATATATTACCCCTATCCTATGTGCTTTAATTTTGCCCACCAACCTGTTATGAAGGACGTTATCAAAAGGTCTTGTGAAAATCCTAATAGCTGGCAAATTAGTAAGGGCTGAGGTAGCTTTTCACTCAGTTGCGTTCCTTTACCCCTTGTTTCTATCTTACTGTTTTTTTTTCAATTACAGACCAGGAGCCATGTGAACTGCAAGTAGAATAAGCCATTTAGTCCCTCGGGCCTGCTCCGCCATTCACTTT